CCCCCCCCCCCCCGGCATCTCCCCAGCCCTGGCCAGCCCCACTCTCATGTGTTCTTGCTGCCCGCAGCACTGGGCCCTGCTGAGCGTGTCCCTGTTGAACTGCCTCCTGTCCACAGCCTGCAGTGTGGGCCTGGCCCTGGCCATCGCCCTCACCGTTCACAGCCGGGGCATGCACCTTGTCAGGGGCTGTGACAGCTCCGCACTGCCGGCTGATGCCCGGGCAGCCATCGCGACCAACGACTGTCCTTTCAACACCACACGCATCTATGTGAGTTTGCAGGGCCAGCACCCCTCCACCCCCTCCTGCTCTTCCTCTTTTTGTCTCTCTGCTTCCTCTCTTTTTTCCTATTCTTCCTTGCTCCCTCTCTCTTTTGCCCACTCTCTCCCTCTCCCACGCTCCTTGTTCTCACCCCCTGCTGCTTGCACAGCCCCCGCAGGCAGGCTGGCTGCCACTGACCCCACTCCCTGAGGGGGCCTCTGACCCTCTGCTCTGCAGGACACAGCCCTGGCGCTCTGGATCCCCTCCATGCTGCTGGCTGCTGCAGAAGCTGTGATGTCGGGCAGGTGCTGCTTGGTGGCCCTGATCTTCCGGGGCATTGGGCCCTGTGCACGCTATGGCAATGAGCAGGTATGTCCCCTCGGTCTGGATGGGTCTCCCTGTGCCCGGCACACCGTTGCTGCCTTTGTGCCATCTTGTGAAGGTGCTGGGTTCTGCTGGGCCCTCAGTCCCACACAAGCAGGCTGTGCAGCAATGGGACGGGGGGGATGCAGGGGGAAGGGGCGATGTCATGTCTGAACTTCTGGCCAGCATTGGTGACAGACTGGCACCCCTTCATCTTGGGGAGTTGCAGAGGAACCCCCTCCTCCTCATCCTTCCAATAGCTAAGCCTGGTCTGTCCTGACCACCCTGAGCAAGCGCCACATCCCCAACCTGGCCCAGCCCTTCACACATCCCTGGGACCCCTCCAGCTCTGCTTTCTCTCTAGATGGCCGGGCCAAGTGTGGTGAAGGCGGGGCCGCCACGTGAGATGCAGCAGCTCCTGGCCGAGACTTGTGCCTAGAGCTGGAGAGGTGAGTGCAGTGGGTGGGCTGTGCCTGGGGGATGGGATGGTGCAGACTCTGATGGCAAGTGGGACCCTGCCCACACCAGGCCCTGAAACGTCTCTTTCGAGCACAAATACTAGCCACAGGGGTCAGTGTGTGCCTGGCCCTGCAGTGCGGTCCCGCTCTCACCCGTTCTCTTTCACTCCAGGTGGTGCTGCCATCAGCCAGGGGACATTGTACCTGCACTGTGCTCCAGCCCCAGGGCAGGTGTGGGTCAGATGGGCTGCAGGGGGATGGGGTGCACCACCATCGTCCCCCCAGCCCCACCACCCGGCCTGGGACAAGCCCTGCAGGTTCCAGACTCTCCTGGGGTCACCAGGCAGCAGGTGCCATGGGCCCCAGCTGCTCTTCCCTTCTCCCCCCACAGCTGCAGGGCCCTTCCTGCCCCACCGAAGGCTCCGTGGGTGTTTTACACACCGGGGGGGGGAGGGGCAGGCAGAGCTGCTGGGGCAGCAGCTGGATCGGGGCTGGGTGCTGGTGCCCCTGCTGCAGGTTTTTTTCGCCGTGCCTGGGCAAGTGAAGGCAAGTGAAGAACCCCTTTGTTGTGAGCCCCTGATGTTTCCCTGGGTAAATAAACCTTTCATTTTTCACACTGGCTGCTGTAAGTGGCTCTCTAGGGTAGACTCTGGCCAGGAGCTGGGCCCAATGATGGACTGAGAGTGCAGCTGTTGTACAAGATAATTCCAGCCCCTTCCCCCAGCACAGGGATGTAGACAGACACATGGTCCTAGTGTGACAGTCACCCAGCAGGGCCAAGAGACACCTGCACAGGGGTAGGGCCCTGGGAGCTACGTGTGTTCCCAGACTCGGCATCCCTTGGCAAAGAGGAGCACAGCAGGCTTCAGGGACACGTTTATTGGGGGTGTTTAAGGACAGCTGAAAGCTGCCACGGTCCAGCTCACTGGAAAGAGAAGCTGGTGCTTGGGAGGCCCCCACACCACTGGCTGAGGAACTTGAGCACATCTTGGCATGCAGGGCTGTGGGACATCTGCGGAATGAGAGAGGCCGTGGCACTGGCGAGGGGATGGTGCCACCACCCCACACCCTGCCAGGGGCACCCTGGGGCAGAGGGAGCTGCACAGGCAGGGCTGGGTCTGCCCCGGCTCCGTGGAGGAGGGTAACCCCTGCCCAACAGCACTCAGGGAGGGGACACTAAACCTGCTCTGATTCAGTACATCTCCACCGCACAGGACATGTTATTGTTGGTGTGAGGAGTTGACACCCACAGCCCATCTCCCTGCCCCACAGGGAGCCAGGCTCACCTTGACAGCCATCAGGAACTTGTTCCACGTGTCCTTGTTGGCTTCTCGGCCTGGCCGCTTGAACTCTATCTTGTTCCTTAGCACAGGGTACCCTGGGCACACAGTGACAACCTCAGAAACAAGCTGAGACTCACAGCAGACCCCTACCTTGTGCCGTGGCAATGCCTGCTCCCGGGGGACAATGCTGCCTCTGGAAACCAGAGTGAGGAGTGGGGTGCCCGCAGTGGTGGGATCAAAGGAAAATAAAGGCCCATCCTTCTGGCCAGGGCACCCAACGATGTCAAACGAGAGCATCCCATGCCTGACCTTTGGAGCCAGAGCCCTGCTGCTGGTGGCCCATCCCTGCTCCCTCTTTCTCTCCCCAAGAAGTCCTGTGGCGCAAGCCCCACTCTCTGAAGTGTGTGGAGCCAGGGGGGGCAGTGCTTGCCAGAAGAGACAGATTTTGTAAAGCTGGGGCAAGGCAGGGACAGGCACCATGTGTGTCAGTGCTGCCCAGCCCTGGCAGCCTCCTGGGCAGTGCTGTGTGAGACTCAGCCATCACAGAATGGCGGAGGCTGGAAGGGGACTCTGGGGTCGATACGGTCCAACACCCCCTCCCCCCCAGCCCTGACTCAAGCAGGGCCACAGCCAGTTGCCCAGGACCACATCCAGATGGCTTTTGACTGTTTCCAAGTATGGAGATGCCACAACTGCCATGCAACCTTTTCCAGTGCTCAGTCAACCTCACAGTAAAAAACGTATTTTTCCTCCAGTAGAGGAGGAAAATAGCCAGAGTCTCCCTGCTCCTCTTTCGGCGCAGCCTGAATTCCCTCCCAGACCCTCCCTGTGCACGTTCCCCCTCCCCACATGGCACCGTGTGAGCTGACAGAGCTCACCTGTGAGCACACAGGGCAGGGAGTGCACCCCTGTGTTTGCTGCCACCAGCGACGCCTCGTAGGTGTCCCGCTCATCCTGGGGCAGCACCTGCTCCAGCCGCTGGTCCATGGACATGGTGAGCACCCAGTCGCGCACCTCCTCCCGCTTCTCCTCCTGCAGGGCAGAGGACAGGCCACCTCCTGGCACCGCATGTGTGTCACAGCCCAGCTGCTGCTCTGCAGCGTGAGGAGGGACACGGGAGGGCAGGAGGGCAGGACACATGTAAGCACACAGGATGTGCACACACATGTGCATGTGCACCTGTTTGGGGAGAGGCGTGGCTGCCTGTGTGCACAAGCACACATATGTATGGGGAGGGGAATATGAGGGAGTGCACATGTGTGTGCACTGGGGCTCCGTGTGGGGAGTGGGGATACAGGGCAGGGGCCAATGCTGAGCACATTTCCATCTCCTGCTGTCCCACCCTGTCCCCCTCCCTGGTCAGGGAGGGCCCCGAAGCAGCGTCACTGGAGCTGAAGAAGGCAGGTGACACTCACAGGCACGTGCTGCTGGGCTGGAAGCGGCACTTCAAAGGGAATGTCTGTGCCCTGGAAATCAGAGTGGTCCAGAGAATCCAGGTTCCCTTCTTCAATGGCCTGAGGAAGGAGAAGTGGTGGAGCACTAGGCAACCCCTCCTCGGAGCTGACAGCTCCATTGTGAGGATGGCATTACTGACACCCCCATCTATTAGTGCTGGGGTGACTGAGCCCTCCTGGGAGGTGGCATTTATGGCCTCTGCTGTGTCAAGAGAACATGTGCCCCTGAAACACTGAACTGCTCAAACCTGTCAGGTGGCCTCAAGGGAGGGAATGGGGGGCTTTTTTCCCAGCAGCTGCTGACAGCACTTGTAAGACTGGTACAGTACTGTCTGCCAGCTTCCTGGGCTTTGGTGTTATCTGGTGACCAAGGAAGGCATTGACTGGTATCAGGGGGCTCCTTGAGTCTTGTACCACAGTGGCTAAAGCTCTGGGCCATGCCCTCCACCTCTCAGGAAATTTTCCTTCCCTTGGAAGAACTCAGATGAGATCACTCGGGAAGCTATAACAACACTTGCAGCCGTGAGGACCACAGCCCTGGACTGCCAGGCCAGCTTGCTGTTTGCTGCAGCTTGTGTGCAGGGTGGCACTGGCACACGCATGGTGACATGGGCAGGGCCGCTCAGGTGCCCCGCATGGCAAGTCCCTCCACAGCGAGTGCTGCACACTGGTGATACCCAGCGGCGTGCAGGGTTCTCCATCAGCACCACACTGGAACCTCAGGAGTACCCCGGCCCACAGCCAGCAGTGGTTTTCCCCATGACAGCCCTCCCTCCAGCAGACCATACGCACATCTGAGAGGTCCAAGAAGCGGTTCAGGAAGATGAAGGCCATGTTCTCCCAGTTGACTGCCTAGAACAGAGAGAAACCACAGACCAGACAGCTTATCTGCAAAGCCACAACTGCCCTGCCTGAATGATGGCTGAAAAGCACGTGCTGTTTGTGCCCCAACATCCCACTTGCAGCACGGGTAATGGAGGAGAGCATGCATCCCAGCTCACCAGCCTGGGGGAGCGCTTCACGGGTAAGCACTGGCCACAGGCTCTCCTGCAGGATGGAGTCGGGCATTATTGCACAGCATCAGTGAATGTGCTGCTCTGCTCGCCATGTGTCACTGCCATGGGCAGGTAGAGCCTGTAGCCTCGGGAGCAAGGTGACACTGAAGTGACCCTGAGCAAGGCAGATCAGTTATGAGTCCTGAACTGACACGAACAGAGCCATGCAATATAACGTCTGCCCCTGAGTCTGCAGTTCATGTCCCCCTCACCAGTTCAGGTCTGCCCTCCCACACCTACTGCTATCCTGTAACAAAATGCTGAGGCTGGCAAGCTGTTTGAAGAAAGGCCACCAATGCCAGTGTCTGGCTATTGGCCCACCAGTGCAGCTCCGACGGAAGACAGCTCTTACCTTGGCAGCTATCCCAGCTTCATAGAAAGCCTTGTCTGCAGGCAGGAGCTCAGTGTGGCGCAGCAGGGAAATGGACAGCTTGGCAGCCACGGTGTCCTGCAAATACAGGGGACAGTAAAGCCACAACAATCAGCACAGAAAAATCAGGTCAGAAAGGATCTGATAAGCTTGTCCTGCCCCAGACTCACAGCAGCGACGCTGCACCATACTCCCAACGTGTAACAAACAAAGGTCAAAACCTTCATTCCTGACTGTGAGCGCCCTCACTGTGTGCATACACAGGAAGACTGTCCCCAGAAGATGGAGAAGATAAACCTTGCTCTTTTTTTTTTACTAGAAGCCACAGCCAAACTCCCACCATTTGAGTAATGGAACGGCTGAGGTGGGAAAGGATCTCTGGGGATTGCCTCTTCCATCCTCCCCACCCCATTCAAAGCAGAGTCAGCTACAGCAGGTTGTTCAGCAGCGTGTCTGAACATGTCAGGTTTGGACTACCTCAAAGGATGGAGACTCTCCACCCTCTCCATTAAACTTGTTCTGGTGTTCAGCCACAGTCATGGTAAATTTTTTCTTGGATTCCATCACATAAGAATTTTGGCGCAGGAGTGAAGAATTCAAGGGAGATGTCAGTTCTGTGCTTGCCAGATAGAGTCTCATCACACCAGAACTACAAAGGCCACCCCTCCTTCACAGTCCCAAATAGACTACCAACATCTCAACATTCCACAACTGTGTGGGCCTGTAGAGGTTTCCAAGACATCAGACTTGGCTCTTTCTGTCTGACATGTCTCTGGACCCTCAGCATCTACACACGCAGCCATGAGTAAGCCCCATAGGTCCAGTATCTGCCAAAGCTCTGTGTGATGGCAAGTGCCCAGGCCCTTGTGGGGGCTCCCAAAGCCCCCAAGAAGCTCAGCTCCCAAAGCCCTGCGCAATGTGAATCTGCTCTCAAGACCACATGTGAAGCCCAGCAGCTCTCATGGCCCAGGACAGCCAAAGAGGAAGCAATGCTTCTCCTGGGAAGACCAGATTTTTCTGTGATCCCTAAATTTCTGCTGATGCCTCTGCTCTCACAAGTCATGCTGAGCATATGGATCAGCTTCCCACTGGTTTACATCTCAGCCTCAGTGGCTGGGGGCAGGTCCCACTGTAAGGAGTCAGAGAAGACTATCTCCAGTTCCACCTGAGAGTGGCAGGCTCTGAGATCACTATAGTCCCATTCTCATGCATCCATGATGTGCAAGTGACCCATGGAGTAGAACAGCGAACTATGGATAGCCCTGAACCTGCATGTCTCCACAGGGTTCTACACTCTGGGAATGTGACCTGTGAAAGAAACGTCAAAAACCTTACCAGTTGTTTGACACCCTGAGCAGCAGAGCGGGTGGCATAGTAGTGAGAGATCAGCAGCATCGTTTCAAACTCCTCATGTGCTGGGGTGTTTGCCTCACT